AAAAATCTGCCACCTGATATAACTTTTTATATCAATTTAACCACGTTAAACGATTACCTTTGTAAAATCCGGACATTTTTCAAATCCGGACATGTGTTTGAAATCCGGACTGTCCGGACGAAATCCGGACGTATGGTAACTCTAAATATAGGTATAAGGTATAACCATATGAATATATGATGGCAGTTATTTAGTCGGAAATTAACAGCTTGCTATTAGCCACTAATATTTATGACTAATTAGAAGTAAAATAATAATATTATAATATTATAAGTAAAATATATTTGACGTTTATTAACTTTATCGTTTTTAGCTGTTTGGATTTGTACATGGTCGTTTATTTATTTCAGAATATTTTTTTACCGTTTGACATCATATCTAACTGAGTGTCTCATAAATAAAATATTTTTCTTCTTTTACTTCGCCTTCTCTTCCAACTATTTGGGGTCGGCAACCCTCAACCCTAGTCCTCAATTTCCACTTACTAAGATCCTTAGCATCCTCCTCACAAACACCAATCATTCTCATATCGCACTCTATAACTTCATACTCGCGGTCGACTATCACAGATAACAGATTATGAACCCATCGCCTAAGCCCTAAATACAATATATTAATAGGTACTATACTACTATAGATTATGAATCAACTACAAGTAACAAGAAACAGTTTCAAACAAATAGTTATAGTCTACAGAATGATGTCTATTGCAGTAATGTAGGTTGGTGTGAATGTGTTAGTCAGTATCTAATTCGAAATAATATGCAGTTTTTTTTTAATGTAATATTAATAATATATAATAATATGACTAATCTTCCAGCTCCTTTTTAAAACAAAATTTAAGAGACGCTTATAATTCTTTTTATTAAAAAAAAATTATTAAAATGGTTATAATATTATGGTTGGAATATTCATTTATACGCGAGTAATATTGTAATATGGAGAAAAAAACAATTTGAAATCTGATGAATTTTGAATGAATGAAATCAACTTACCTATGTATTAAAAATTAAAAAAAGGCCACCGCTTGTTTTTTCTCTCTGGCCCACGCTCAACAAAAACAAAACAAATTTTCGTTTTTTAGTAATGAACATTTTGATTTGCCATCCTTCAGAATAAATTCACCCTTTGGCCTTTATTACAAAATCTAAAAAACCTAGTATTTCAAAAAAATATTGGCCTAGAATTGCCGCCCTAGACAACTGCCTACTTTGCCTGACTAAGCGTCCACCGCGGCGATAATTAAACTAGTTAAGTCAAATAGTTWAAAAAAAATATTTTTAACTTTTTAACTAGTGATTGCCACCCTTTGACATTTTGATATATGGTGGGATGTCTAGGCGATAGCCCTAATCACATAAATGACCGTTTTTATCTAGCGGGACAATTCATAGCATAATAGGTATATTATATAAAACGAATAATAAATCAGAATGAAACATTTTATGAAAAAAAGGTAGGTAATTCTGTTTTAACGGTAATGCTGATATTTTGGCTATAATTATTAAAATATTTTCTTGAATGTCTTATTGTAATCATTTCGAAACCAGGCAATACACTAAATCAATAAATATATATTCATTATTGACATCACGTGTTTGGATATTTTTTATTCCTGTGTCCTTTATAATCCTAATAATATTGTGAAATTATGTGTAGTACGGTAGGTAGGTCGTAGGTGGTAGGTGTGTCGTTATCCGGTAGGTAATGAAGTGACGGAAACGGGACCAATACAATATAATATTGTTTAATTTTTTTTTTTTTTTGCCGAACTACTATTTACTACAATTTATTGTGTTATTCGACTTTCGGGTTCTAGCACGCTAACTAGGTACCCTATGGGTGAAGATATTTAGTCCAATAATTACAATAATTAAATAGAAAATAAAAATACCKAGACATTTTCGTATCCCCCTCCCCACAGATCAGTATAATATAATACTAATGTATTATTCAATAACCTGCCAAACAACAATATTTACTTTTTAATAWATTCCAATCATAGAATAAATGAAAATGTGAGATTAATTTAATCTAAATCTCTGTTCCAAACTCCCAATTACGGCCAATCGTCCATGGATTACGACCACTACGTTAAAGTACCCAATAAATTATAAT